AACTATTAAATGAATTGGAAAATTGATATTGTGACCCAAATATCTATTTGTGTCATGCTGTTTCTTTTCCACACCACGTTTTTAATTATTTTTTTTTACAGATGGTAGGTCGACGTTTGACCATCATCTTGCCTGGTGGTAAGCGATGATGTGGCCGATTATGGAGCACGCCTACCTATGAGCAACCTCTATACCTGTTCACTCGGGATTATTTACATTTGATTGTCTCTTTCTAAAATTATGTCTTTAATTTGGTCATCTTTAATCTTGATGTTGTCCGCAATTGCGTCTTTGTCCGCCAGCAAATGAACTTGACCTGAGAATTTCGCGTTAACGTCTAATAATAAATGTATTTTGAAAACAAATCATACCATCAGAAGTTCGCATACATTGACACGCCTCGAGTTTACAAGTTCAATGCACTAAAGGACGTTTAAGATTACATATTCAGTGTAGATTTTCTTAACGTTTTCAACTAACAGAAGCATTGGTTTTAGTAAAATATTTGGCTCATTCATTTGTATTGTTTTTGCCAATTCCCAAAATAAGTTTTGTGATGTTTCCTGGAACTGAAGTTCGTATGGCGACCTAGTATTATCGTTATGGAATGATTCTGGTTATGTGTTCGCGTCACATTCTAAAGATTTTTATCCTTGACATATTAAGCAAATTTATTTTCCTGAATTGGATTTATTTATTTCCTGTCCTCATTTAAAGAATGTGCATTAACTTTGTAATGGTGTTTTGAATTTTATCACGTGTCTTTTGGCACTATATTAATTTTTAATGGGCCTCTTTATTCTTCTTTGTATTTCTTCTATACATCGCAAAAAGTGGTCACCCACTATCAATTATGCCTTACTCATTTCATTTAGCAATTTGAAAAAGTCACTGTCCATATGTCTTGGCCAAACTAGGTCATCTTCGTCGCCATTTGTTTTGTTACTATTTTCGGTACAATACGCCGTAGGTGTAACATCTCACAGATTAATGCGAAAATAGGCGATTCTAGTTCAATGAATATAATCGTGAATCGACCTTTGGGTTTGAAGTCATTGAGATCAAAGCTCAGTAGCTTCCAAAAACATTAATTAAGGCCATTAAAATTAAAGTAAGTTATCTATGATTAACTACCTATTACTCATACTCATAACAAAGACTATAAGCGTGTACACGGGCGTTGTATTTTTGGAGTACCGATGTTATTTACTTGAGCTTGTAACGGGAGCATCGACCGGCCTAGGTCGTTTGTGCATTCAGTTCTGGATACAGTAAAACTTCTTTTACTACAGTTGTAATGGGAATGAATTGGCGATCGGGAATAAATTAAAATGAGTACCTAACTTTAAAACTTTCATGAAGTAATTAGGTCTAGTCGTTGCTAAATTAGTCTGAGCTATACATAGAAAAGGTATATATATATTGAAAGAATATGGTACTGTGGACTTTAGAAGTTACAAATCTTTTTCAAGTTACTGGCCTTTTTGTCCATCATGCTTATTCTACGAAGTTACTCAGTGAATTGTGAGGACCCCATCATCCATTAACGTGCGATCAGAGTTGAAGCGTGCAAATATCGTTCTATCATTACTAAACCCGAGTTGAGTAATGAAACGAGAGTAGGACACTGCGACTGGTTGACCAACAAACCTTTGAAATGAGACGACTAGACTGACAAGCTCGTCGGGTTAAAAATAGCAGAGAGCAGATGACAACAGGATTGTTTGAACGCGTTTAATTGTGTTGCGCAGTAATCGCCTAAGGATTATGGGTTGTATTGCTATTTGCGCTGCAGCTAAAATCGTATACAGTCTGTTGTCTACATACGACATTTTCATGTAAATTATGCTAAAATAAACGCAATTTAGAAATGAATAAAGACTAGTTTGAGTACAGGTGAAAGGAAATGGCTATTAAAATCGATAGTCTACTTTTATCTTATGATGTGATCTTCAGAAACTTGACTAGAATGCCTTCTCTTGGTTTAATGATATAAGACATTCGACATGTCATTTTAATTTAACCAAGATTCTCAACGAATTTTTAAATCCAACTCTTACATTTTCTTCTTTATATAAAAAAGCTGCACTGTCTCCTTCAATTAGAAAATCATGAACCTAAGTCCCAGCTGCCGGTAACTGAATACGTCCGGTGGGACGAGTGGCCAAGCCACTAAGGTCTAACAAAGGGTCCGAAGTACGTTCTGTTTAATAGGAAACACCTGATCCATACAGCTTAGGGTGATTGTGGGAAAATGAGCCACAAGTATTTACTTACCGTGATATTTCCGCTGGTGGTATTGAGAACTTGGTTGATATTGATGTTGGTAACCACTTTCATGGTGTTGGTAGTCAAGTTGATGGTTATGAAGATAATGGTGGATAAGAAGAAATAGAGGGATGTGACAAAAGAGCGTCAGCTGCGCACATCAAACTTCAAGAGTGACTGGACGAATTTGGCATTTTTCCCAATATTTTTGATGGCTAAGAACGGTTTCTTAAAAAAGATTACAGGATTTGTACAATGAGTAAACTCTTCAAAGAACATGGTAATGTTTATATCATAATACAAAAAATACGAGTAACGAGAATAGACTATTGTTTACATAAATAATGAACGGGAAAAAAGTATTTTTTTACCTTTATTTTGATCGAATTGTTATGATCTCTTCCTTGTAATGAATTATCGATATCCTGTAACAAATATTTTTGTAAACAGTCTATAAATAGGCTGGTTTTTTTATTTTTTTCTGGCGTTTTTATCTTCCTATGTTATATTATAATAATCTCTACTTCAGTAACATGCCGAATTTCATTCCTCTTGTTAAACACATACGTGTTGTTAGAAACCACACTTTCGACTACTAGATCATCAATTTGTTCTTTGACATATTTCTACTTTATTAACATCAGTATTTTCTCATTTTCTGACATAATGTGGCAATTTGAATTAATCCATTAGAACAGGTTAACACATTAGTGCGTTCGATGCATTATGTTGGCGCCATTGGCTTTATGTATGCGTTCGGCTTATTATAACAGGTTGGACAACATTCTGGTGCAAGCTGGTCATTAGTAATTCTAATAACTCAATTTTTCTTTATTAAGTTAATGCGTAATCTTTTCTCCGGTTAAGAATAATGATTATTCCCTTAAAACTCTTCATTAGTCTTCGATCACAAAATCCTTCTAGCCCTTCTTGGAATGCAAACGTCTATAACGAAACCCATTCCATGTTAAGCATTGTTATCTTTCACGCAACTGCCATCAAACAATTAATCTAATAGTTCCACCACAATATTGCATCATACAGTCCGGTTTTTAATTTCAACTTAAACTTTACGTAACATATTCATTGTGATTAGATTAACAAGTAGTAATTAAGTGGGGTAACTAACGCTGCGGTCATTTGGACTGGTTTCTGGTAATTGGTTTGCAGATTAAAAGGGACTATGGATAATAGGAATTTTGTTTTAGTTATGATGTGGGACAAAAGGATATCACTATTTGTGCTGAACGGTTTGTGTAATCGTGCTTGGCTGAAACAACTAAATCTAATTTGATCGGTTTTGCATTTGATAGACAAATTCTCATGGAAATCGTAAGTGGTATCATTATGCTAGGTTATTAGAACAATAGGACGGTGAAAGATTAGTGCTAGCAATTACGAATTGTTGTTACAATTTTCTAATAAGCAAAACCTCGGTATTTTCCATTTGTCCCCTATAACATTATCTCCAATTATGTCATTGTAACCAGAACTTATTCCCACAGTCCTTGATGTCGCAATCTCGTCCTTCCGTTCTATATCTTACGACTTAGCTCTATCTAATCATTGTTTTGCATTGCCTCCATTGTTATCCTTAGCTGCCGAAGTGGCCACTTCCCATAACAACATTGTTAAAAACGGAAAGGAAACAGCTTCGATATGTTTACGCATTTCTTTTTTTTTCTGCCAATAAATTTGCGAACAATGGTCGTTTGGTTCTCGGTATGAGTAGGTGCTAACATCTCAGTATTGGAGACGTCTGCTCATCTGTTGATTTTTCTTCAGTCAAGGACATCGTTGTTTCTTGATTCCTTATTATTCTGTGTTCTTGGTACTGGATTTTTGTTATTGCTTGAGTTTTATTGTTAGATTTGTGTCTGCTTTTTGGCCATTTGAGTTTGTAACGCAAAATGTAATATCTATAAAACATTAATAATTGCAGTACCTGTCGATGCGATTAATAATAAACAAACAGATAAGACATGAAAAACACATTATTATTAATCAAAACAAACTGTCTCCGATAAAAGATTACGCTAACCGCAAACGTCTACTATACGGCTATCTTAATCTCGATTATGTTCATAAGCAAACCCACTTGTAACATGAGAGTGACCTATAAAACGCTATTGTTCACAATTATAATAATAACCTTTTCTCGTAACACTTAACGGAGCTCTGTTGGTGACGTGACCCAACGTAGGAGCATACTCGAGTATGAGGAAAAAAAAAGAAAATAATCCCCCATCCGTAAACACAAATAATAAAAACAAAACAGTATAAAAATGCATAGGTCTCAATTCCCTTAGCTTTGATTACATTATTTCCTAGACTACAACAAAAGTTCAAACAAGTTTAATTTAAAATCTAGATTAGTTTTTCTCTTCAAACAAGGATTTCCAGTTACAGTTCAAACTAAACTGTGTTAGCTCTAACAATTACTCGTTGTAACTGCGATGGTAACTTAATTATGTTGAACGGATCCACGTGGCTGTCGACGATTTAATGAAATTAATGTCAATTTGGATGAAATGTATAAATTACATGGTATACTATGAATGTAGATCGTTCAAAGAAATTCTATGTTAATGTTACATGGAAATCTAAACCTTTTTCATAACGATTTTTCCATGTTATGGTTCAAGGAAAAAGTTTCAATTGAACATTAAGCAGTCAATTTATTTCTGTAATGGTTTTTTTAAAGTCTAATAATTTTATTTCTTTTGTTTCAGCTTATGGGAAGGTGTTTCTAGTTAGGAAAAGATGTGGGATAGATGAAGGAAAGTTATACGCTATGAAGGTTTTAAAAAAGGCATCCATAGTGCAAAAATTAAAGACTGCTGAGCATACAAGGACTGAAAGACAGGTAAATAGTATTTTTTATCTTCACTCTTTATTTAAAGACTAAAACCGTTGCTGTATTCAGAAAGAAAACTACGAATGTTTAAAGTTATGCTCTCAAAGAAGCTATTTCGGAATTTGTGTAAAGCTTCAGTGCCAGAGATCTACGTAAAGTACTATTCCAGTAAATTGTATATTATAAAAGTCCTGAAGCTAAATGCTCGAAGCGTTTTTATAAACTTTACTTGTGGCGTTACTGAGGTATCTAGGGCATGGAATGAAAAATTAAATAATTGCCTTTATAAATATACCGTTTTTATTCCGGATACCCCAGGGTTCTGTTCTGGGTCCTTTGTATTTGAATCAAGTTGGAAAGCAGTTAGTAAAATGGAATGAATTCAACAGGTCTTAGAAGCTGTGAGGGCTTGCCCTTTCCTGGTCACACTCCACTATGCGTTCCAAACGGACGCAAAATTACACCTTATCCTTGGTGAGTACAGTTCATTTACCTTTAAAGTTTTTATTTATTAAGTTGTCAGGAAGGATATGTGGAAAACAAATATGCTGTTGCCGGTGCAAATTGTAGTATTCAATTTATTAATTCCAATTATAGAACGTTCTAAATAATCTTTACTAATTTTAGTTATCAAACTATCAATATTATGGCGGAAGGCGTACGCCGAAGTATATTACAATATTATTTAGTAAACAGTTTTTTCCTTTATTAGTTTCGTTTAAAACGGACATTTTGCATACTTCTATACAATTCTGTACTTCTTTTAATTCTGACTTCATAAGTTATTCTACAAGATTAGGGATTATTATTAGTTCAACGATAGCCTTCGTGAGATCTGTAATTAACATTGTATACGAACCTATTAATTTGAGTAGCTGAATATCTTAATTAGAGTAATAGATGCTCCATAACAGTATGATTTAATAATGTTGGTACTAACTCTCTGTTCAGTTTGAGGTTTCGGAAACGTTTATAGAACAAAGTAATTGAATTATAATGGCGTATTGCGGAGAAATGCTTGTTTCAATGGCATATTGTTTAGTTGTGAAGATGGTGATTCGAAATGGCACGGTTTCTTTCAAACCGTGCCATTTCGCATTTTGCATAATTATCACCGTTATTTTGATAGACCCATTTATGAGATGGGCTTATCAAAAATTTTGGAAGATTGATAAATCCAATTTGAAGAGCTGACTTGAGAATTGGATATAAATATGAGAGGTTATGCTTAGGAACTAAACAAAAATTCTATTATCATGTTTTTGTTACCTATAACACCCATAATAAACTAACTAAGGAGAAGGTTTTGTAGCCGTTGCACGTTCAGTTGGCAACGAACTAATTATAGACGATGCATTATTTAAATGAACTGTTCCACGTGTAAGCAAATATACAAACTACTAAACATCTTTAATGGCTGCAGTTTTATTACTGGTTGGCGTTTCAATGATTCTTACGGTCCTATTTGTAAATGCATTCCATTTCACTTTATCAAGAATAGCTCTATATGCTGTTATCTTTTTAAATTAGATGCCTGCTAAATCTTCGATTAAAAATCACAGAAAAAAAAACATTCTATCATAATTTTTTAATTCATATAAATCAGCTAAAGTCAGCTTATGAATGTGTCAACCAAATTCATAACTTTCTTCCTTGGTTATTGTAGTCGAGTGAAAACGCAGGCTACGATTCTGCCGAACACCGAAGTGTTGTAGTATTATATCATGTTATCCAGATATTTTACGAAGGTTAAACTAAAGTTATTCCCAAGTATACACTTAAACTCGTCTCCTTTTAATTTCTGTTAATATTTTCACTCGCAAACATTAAAATAATTAGGCTAATGGATGCGACGTTAGCGCTTCTATGAAAACCTTTAGTGTACCTTTTCAAGTAATATCATTATTCTTTAACCATTTATTTTATGTGGTATACTCGAATTTACTATGGAGGTTCGATTCTACTAAGTTAATAATATGGTTTAACCTATATCCAAGAAGATTTGTTAGTTTAAAGCAAATAGGGTCACCGTTTTTAAAACTACTGTCCAAAAATGTGATAGTTTAATTATGATCTAAGTACTAGATTTGAAATAATATTGAAATGATGACGATCTTCTTCATAGAAATTATTTTTCAATCAATGCTAAGTTCCTTTGTTACATTCTCGAGGTTCTTTCTATTACAAACACGTTTGGACTTGTTCGGAAATTAATCATATGTAATTGTATTAAAATAAAGATTAATTTCTTATCAACCTGGAGGGACTAATTCAAAATGAATCTTTCGTATACGGAAATATAATTTGACAATAAAAACGTGCTTTTTAATACCAAAATTCAAGGACGCGATTATCGATTCGTAAGAATACTTGACAGTCCATCTACCCCTACTATCTAACTCAATCCTCTGTCAGCTAAATCCCAAGGAAAATTATATCCCAAAAAAAGGAACAAATGAAATAGATGTTTCCAGTTCAGACTGGTTCAGATCAATAGTCCAATGTGACCGGGGCGTGGAGTCCTTTCGCAAAGTCGAGGCATAGACCTTCAGGTCTTTCACCTGATCCTGTTGTGTAACTCGAAGGTTGGGGTACGCAAGTAAGGTCGATGGACCCAGTTGACATGCCAACCTCGATTGTTACTCGAATCTTTATGTAAGGAGGGTGTGTTGCTATGTGAGAAATTGTGGTAGGGGATGAACGTGTTGGTGTTGACTGTGTGGGTGTTTGGGTATGTGAAGTGTGTTGAAAAGGATTCTCTTATATAGAGTCTCACGTTTAATTGTATGTGGTTGCGAAGTTCAAGGTTATATTTCTTAAGATGGATAATTTAGGCTTATTGATTCATACGAGAATTGTTGTACAGAAGCTGATTTATTGTAGTGACACAGAAGCTTTTTAAGCCATGATACCAACCAATACTTGAAAATCTCTTGGCAAAAGCAAGCTACTCTAACGTTTTTGAACTTACTGTGATCGAGAAGCTAGATAAATTACGTAAGTCACAGCTTGACGATCAATAGATTGATCACTTCTATACAGATGGTCCAACGTAAGATGCAATCCATGTATTTTTAATTTTAAATGCAGCCTAACATGGCATTCGATGTTCAGATGCCGTTACAAATAACACGGACGATTTGAAATTCTATTAGATGGATTAATTCGTCTGGCTGCAACTGGTTTAGTTATTTCTACTATAGTCACAGTTTCATTGGCTTTTTCTGGATTTAATCCTTTTGGTCCTACTCTTGTTTGTATTTAAACATTGCTTGCTGAGACATGTCTGTTGAGTTGAGTTCTTCTGTTTCAAGTGTATTTTCTGTTGCTATGCCATTGTTCTTCTTTGAGTAATGTCATCAGATGTATTTCTTATATACGTTGCTGTCTGATTTCGGTATTTATTTTTCTGTTTGTAATTAAACGTTATCGTTATCATTTATCGTTACTGGCATTTATGGTAATATGTTTTTTCAATTCAAATTGGTGATTTACACGATATCGTTGTAAAATCTTAACTAGGGCACTCTTGCAAAAATCCCTGAGAAGCAATGAAGATAACCTCCAATGTACTAGAAAACGTTGGAATTGTCCTTAACACTATTTTAAAGGAACAAATCTAATGTGGATTAAACTTAGTGTTCAGAAAACTAAGTTAGGAGTGGTGAATATCTTGTAGAATACAGAATGGAATATTTTGTGACGAAAGTTGTGGACAAAGTATGATTGCCTTGTATGTGTTTCTAAGTTTGTTTGTTTTTGTATTCTAGTGGGATCGTCTTGGTAATCTAAAGTTAAAACACTTTCTACCTGTGCATCGGTTTTAACTTTTTGTCTGATTTCTATATCTAGTTTGTCATTGATGAGTTACTGTTTTCTTGAAAATAGTTTTGATCGCTTTTGTCGGCCTTTTCACTGACGACTATCACGGCTTTACCAGGATTTTGCAGTATTAGTAGGCTGACTGTACAGCATAAAGTCAAAAGTAGATCCTGTGATCGGAAAAAGAATTAAGCTTTAGGATCTAACAGTAATATCAAGAGTATGTCTATAAAAACTTTCTCCACAGTCCCAAAGGCCTTAATGAAAGATTAATCACCGAACTATCATACATCAATACTATGACTAATTGACTCGAATCTATAGTACGAATCTGACTTGGACATAAGCGTGTCAAGGGGATCCCGGCGTACCTTACGCAACGTACAACATTTGTTTATTTTAAACCTTGTTATAAAAGGAATTGGGTCTTCTATCGTTTGCACGTTAATTTGAAACGGCTCGCGAAATCGAGAGGTTATGTATCGATTTGTTTGTTTATTAATCGAATGAAAATTCTTCGTTAGGTAAGATTGAGACGTTTTGTTGTGTACGTTGTTCAATTTGTTTTAAAATGTTTGATTGGCCTTTGAAATGGAAAGTTATTGGTGTTTGGAAAAGCATACGTAACGATGTTTGTTTTATGTTGGCAATTAATCACAATTGAATTTGCTTTCTCATACAACAACGAAATTTCCATACTGTGAATCAATAACTTCAATTTTATCAAAATCTATAAAGCAGTTTTCGCATAAAGAGCCTACAAAAAGAGTCCAATTTACAACATAATGGAATTAAGGTCGCTCATCATTATAGTGATGGAGATAAGATTTCCCCACGGAACACTATCCTAGAATTTTCCATACGAAATGCCACTGTCGAATCACAATTCACCAATGATACATCAAATCTGTCAGTTAATGACACTGAACAGATTCAATTATACGATAACAAAGTATCATTACAAGACTATTTGAAAAAAATATTTGCCAATTAAGAATTTCATAGTCATTCTATTCAGTAGTTCGATTAGAAAGTTTAGTTCACAAGCTGTATGTACTTGTTATGTGGAGATTGAGATTAAAAGATTCTCTGTGTTAATCCGGGTCATGATATATCCGTGTGCCAAATTTCATCAAAAACGCTGTAGCAGTTTTTGCGTGGTAAAGTTACAAAATGTTGATTTATTTGCCATCTAAGCCATCTTCAATGGTATCTTCTTAGTCAGCAATAGTGAAATAGGTTGCGATGAAACAATAATCAGTAACTTTTCCTGTACCTACAGATCTGTTCGTTCTTTCTGGGAATATACTCATCTAATTATATGATCATAACGATGACCTTTCCGCTTTTTGACCTCTGATTATTCCAAGTAATAATAATAAATGTCTACTTAAAAACCATTATGCAACAATGCTAAATTAAAATTAAGTCCATATAAAGCAAAGCTCCACGGTACCAAACGTTAACGCCCACATTCATATCTCCTCTGATCATAAAGTCCTTAGATAAGGGGGCTGGAAGATACTTGACCTTTAGTAAAATGTTGTCTAGGAGATGGGTATTAGTATTGTACTGATTTTGCATACGTATCTGCAAAAATAGTTGTATCTTCTATTGCTTTTAATCTAACACCTTCCTCTAGTTTCTGCTTT